AAGCTAGCTATAACAAAGTAGGTATATACAATATATAAATTAAACAGTTTTATAGCCATATTAAACTTTCATTTTACAAAGGCCTTTCTGAAATAAAAATTTTAAATATTTTCTAAAAACACTAGAAGAGGTTCAAAACATTATTTATAAAGTATTTGGATACGACGATATTAATCAAACTGTGCAAACAAAGCATTTTTGGGTAAGTGAAAGTAGAAACTAAACTTTTCTGCCATCCAGTCCTGCGCAGCGCCGCTTTACAAACACTTTAGGGGAAAACTGCAAATACAAAATGTGTGTATGTCCACAAACAAGTGTTCATGTTTTTATATGACTTGGAAAATTTAAAATTTAAATTTTAAATGTAGAGCTTTATTAGTGAATAGTTGCTGAGCGCAACAAAATATAGGCTATATTTTTTACTTGCTCTTTTGTGCTGAAACACTTAACACTTTCTTTTACTTAAGATTACCAAATAATATGTAACATCCCTTAATAAAGTGGGAATTATCTATTAAATTTCATATAGCCTAGGGAAAAATGTATGTTTTAGTTCTCTCCGAAGCATTTGGGCAGAATGTCTGACGTCTATCAATCAAAACGAGGATGGTATAAAATACATTTCATACCGAGGGGACTACCGCTTTTGTATAATGATATTATTATTAGCAGTATTATTTATTATTTCCATATTTATATTTGTTTTATTAAAAACAAGCTTAGATTTGCCAACCTGCCAGGTTTTAGACCATATGGGGCACAGCATGTGTTTTAGAATATAACTCTTTTTTTTTTGAGCTCATTTTGTGATTATTGTTCCTTTATTCGTTTGCTGGAAATTAGAACTGAATTTAGAAATAGTTTTGAAACGAATATTTGTGCTTAACAAACAAAATTATTTATTTATAGACTAATTGATGTCTGTGCGTAAAGGTTTCCCAATCCAAGAGCAAATGTGAAAGTAGTTCCATTATCTCTCATTCTCACGCAGTAGATGCTCTGTTTAACAGTTTTCTGTTAAAAAACTGTTAACTGTTTGCTTGTGAAATGCTCATTTTTCCACTTACACTTACTTTGCGTCCTGTAAATAGCGAATGCGCTCTTGGCGCGACGCAGCTGACTCTTAAGGGGAATGGGAGATGAGACTCTAATTGGTTTATTCTCAAAACACACCTATAACTCATTAAGAAAATAAACTCAACCCTTTTAGACCATGCGCCATGGTGCAAAGCAGGTTTTTTCTGTCCTTAAATTAGCAAAAACGCGTTCTGACACGCCCTGAAAGCATTTGCGCCCTGTGTTTTGCGCTCTGCGCATGGACTGTCAAAATAGAGCCCGTAATGCTTTACAGTAACGTGTCATTTGTATGTTTTAGTTGTCGTAACTAATTGTTTCGTGATGATGCGATGGTGTGCTTTATCTGCCTGATTCCTGCTGAAGTGGGTGGGTTGTGTGACCTTTGATTCGGGGGACGTTCTGGGGGTGGGGTTTGTGTGAGGCACTGCGAGCTACTAGCCCGACAGTGAAAACGCGACATGATTTTGACCTCATTACTCAACCTTCCCTGTGATTGGCCTGGCCCGATAAAAACCCTGGCTCGCACTGGCTTGACGGTGGAAATACAGCTAATGATGCGCAAAGTATCTGGGCTGAAGATCAACATTTATGCTTTTGACTTTTACCACACAGTCACACAAACTGTCCAAACAAACACTGAAGACTCATGTAGCGGTTATGTTGTTTTACCACACAGGTGTCAAACTTAGTTCCTGGAGGGCTACAGCTCTGCACAGCCTATTTAAACACACATCAAACCAATTGAGTCCTTCAGGCTTCTTTGAAATCTACAGGTAGGTTTGTTGGAGTTGGGTTAGAATTAAACTGTGCAGGGCTGCGGCCCTCCAGGGACTGAGTTTGACACCCCTGTTTTATCAGGTTATCAGTCTTATCCGGCAGTTTTTTGTTTGAGATTATACTGAAGACAGAACATTTCATCCTGCTATCAGCAGTCAGCATTGTCTAAACACTACTTAGATGCCAACAAGCGGATTAATATGTAGACATTGCCTCTACTACAAGTGAGAACTGCAAATCCTCTATTAAAAGTGAGACCCACAATGTCACATCCCCGGCTCGTTCCTGCTCACCCATTCAGCATTCACCTTCACAAACCAGTTCCATCCAATCCCGTGTACTCTCACCAGCCTTCTAATGGTTAGCACCTGTTCCCCATCAACCTAGGACATTATATAAACTCATCTTCTCCTCTCAGTCATCAAGTGGTATTGAAGTCGGATGGTTGTTCTCATCTTTACTCCTTCGTCATCTCTCCTTCTTCCATGGATGTTCCTTATGAGTCTTTAAGTCCCTCATACTGATCAAGGGAAGTGATTATTATTATCTGATGTTTCCTAAAAGATCTACTACCACTCTAATGAACTGTGTGCTTGTATACTCATTAGCGAATGATTATTACATGCTCTCTAATCCCTCTCATCAATCTAGAGGAATGCTTACACTTGTGTAGTTTACCAGAAGATCAGCTATCTACTAGATGAACTGTGTGTCTGAATACTCACCTGCTAAGTCTCTTACGAGCGAACTACAAGTGAGATTGATAACATTTGACGTTGACACTTGCATTGCTGTTACAGAAGATCGCTACAGCATTAATATCTACCCTTTGAATTCCCACTGTGATTAGTGATTTTGTTTTGAACAAAACTGAGAAAAGATAAGCATCACTGTCTTCCTTGTCTACCAGCGTGACGCACAAAGCTTCCACGGAAAGCGAGAACCAAAGCCTCCAAAAAGAATGAGAATGGCAAAGCCTCAACCATCACCATAACAGATTCAGAAGTAAAGCAGCTGTTGACTGTGAGTTGTTTTGACTTTGGGTTGTTTCTTCCTGGATTTTTGAACTGTTATGAACTATTTTTTTGTGTTAGACTGCAACTCTGCGCAAGACGTTTGGCCAAAGGAGAAATGGTCATGACCAACCAAGCCTGGTTTCTTCCGAGGTTATTTAATTATTCACTTTCGCCAATTGGTGACGTTTTTTTCCTTGTCGCTGTCGCCACTGGCTTGGTAGGTTCGGGACCGATTCGCATCGATGGATTTGCTCTTCAGTGTTTAAACTCTCAACAGTAAAAATTAAACCACACTGAATTAAACTAAACTGAATTGCAATACTCAAATCTGAACTGACACTGATTTAACTTACTATAATTTTCTATGTAAAAGCGCTATAAAAATAAAGATGAATTGAAAAAGTTAGACGAAAAAAGAGTGAGAGGAACATTTTGTTGCTTAATAGATTTATTTATTTTTCACTCGTTTAATTTTTGAAAATTGTGTTTTTTGTTTGATTCTTGACTTAATTTCCAAACATGATTTATAGTGTTTATTTTCAGTAATTACAACTTGAGGGTCTGTGTACTGTGGTAATAAAGTGATCTAAGGCAAATGTTACATAAAACTGGCACCCCAGATGGGATGAGAAAAAAATGTCTGAGTTGTGAGAAACAGAAAAACACTTCACTATTCAAAATCACTGCCACATCACAAAATGGCTGCCACCTCAAATGATTCACTTCATTATATAGAGGGAGATGGTAATAAATCCATTAACCAAATCTCAGCAGATAATCTTATAAACTTAACGGTTTCATAAACTGAAGGCATTCAAATCCCTTTACCCAAATTACAACAAGGATATGTCAGGCTTTTTCAACTTAAGCTACAGTGCTGGATATGGAGTTCACAAAAGTTTTTGATCTCAGACATCCCTTGTCACCAAGCTCCCCATCCACATTTAAAGAATCTGGTTTTCCGGATACTCTGATAATTCAACAATTGAGCAAAATGATGCAATACCAATATCAGAGTCTGAAGGACACCATGTTAAAGGAATCAGGAAAAATAAAGCAGTCTGTGTACACTTTCATCAAGGGAGTTTAGCAATTTTTAGGCATGACTGGATGGTATCGCCGCTTTGTACCACAGTTTTCTTAGGTGGCTGAACTGAACACCTTGAAAAGAAAAGGAGTAAAATTTATTTGGACTGCACAGTGTCAAGATTCATTTGATCCTCTTAAACAGCTTCTGATGTCTTCACCATTCCTTGGACATCTTAATTTGAATTTACCATTTGTCGTCTACATGACGTCGGATGATGTACAGCCTGGACGACATCGCAATCTACTAAAGGTCATGGGAGGGCCACCTTACCTGTCCAGGACTAACAGAGGAAAAGAACCTGGGTTGCACTATTGGTCGAGGTCTCATCCAGTTGCAATCAAGCCTAGGTGGAGGCTGTGGAAAAAAACACCCCAACCTTCCACAAAGACTTACAATCATGTACACAAATGTTACCAACATATTATTGTAGTCCGGTTTGTGCTGTTGACAGTGGTATTAGACAATAAACACTTAAATGTTTATAAGCAACTGTAAAACAACTTCTCCAGGCTCTCAAAACATCCTCACAACCCACTCAGAGGGTTAACATTCTTAAAACCCACTTTTTATTATGGCTTTTAATGCATTTATGTCACTAGTAAAATGTGCTGTATTTTTTTTTTGTATTATATGTTTTCTTTTCCAAGGTAAAGCACTGAGATTATTAAAGTTTCTATAGAAATTATGTTTTCAGGATGAGAGTCTATCCTTCCTATATGTACATAATTTGCTTTAAAAGATGATGTATGACTAAAGCAGTGCAAGAGAATTTTTTTTTTTTTTTATTTCTAACAATTAAGAATATAGCGTAAGATAACTATGCAAATGACTGTCTTCAGTTCCTTACTATGAAAACCATTCGCCTACATTCTTCATGTAATCTTCATTATCAGTCAAATTATGTACCTAATGTCGTGTGACCTTCAGATGTAATCCTAAATGTTGAAAAAAGATGCTAAACCGAAACACATGAGCTGTAGGTGCCACTTCGGACAGGGCAAACAGAAATAAGTGTCTCAAATGCCATGTAAAGGAATTACCTCAGAAGACAACAGGGTAGCACATGTTCCAATACACCAACATACAATTGGTTTAGTGATTAGGCCATCTGTAATGCCTTGACAGATGTTATACTCCTCCGTGCCTCCAATCTGAAAAACATTGAGAATTACAATGTCTAAGCAAATTACTCAAATTCTAGCAGTCATAATTTAAAGAATACAGATGGTAAAATAAGTATTTAATACATAGAGATTTTTTTTCTGGTAAATTTATTCTATAGAAGCTGTTGACAAGAAATTGCCCCAGATTTAGGTAAAAACTCTAATAATGCAAACGTACAAAAATCATGAAAACGTGTTTGTTTTATATTTATTTACTGAACAACAAGAGAGCAGGTACATTATTCACCATTTCTAAGGAATGTAAATGTACCCAAATTTGCCCAAACGCTTGTTTAATTGGTAGTGCATTTGCCAGATGTTAAGGACTACACTTATATAAATACATATTACATACCTGTATTAATACACAAATTATAAACAAATCACAAAAAAAAATCTAACAGAAAACAACCACAACTACAAAAATATTTGCAATAAAAAATGTTTGCAATGTTCATAAGTAAAAGTAATTTTCTAAAATTATACATAAATGAATAATAGACTTTTTCTAACACATTGTGGAATCACATTCCACTGTTGCAAACCTCTAAAACAAAAAACAACTTGACCAAAATATTTTCTTCAAAGTGGAATAATGCAATCAGCTTTAGTTGCACCCCTAGCCAAGCAAGGATTTTAAAATATTACCATGATGGAAATTGAACTCTTAGATCATCTGACTTGTAGAGCATTTTACTTTATTATCAACAAAAGGAAGACAAGATTGTAATAAATGAGTATTTATTAACAAACGAATAAACAAGGGAATTGCTAAATGTACATCTTTTCTAAAGACAAGCTAGAGTCTGATAAGGTAAACCTTATTCTAAAAGAACAAACAACTGAGGAAGTTTTTGTTATTAATGAATATCAGTTATAAACTTTTCCAGTGATGGGTTGCAGCTGTAGCTGAAGTTGGTGGTTCATTCCACTGTGGCGACCTCAAATTAATAAAGGGAATAAGCCGAAAAGAAAATGAATGGATGAATAATTTGATTATTTTATACTAAAACACATTATGCTAAGGTCTCTGTTAGAGGTTTGGAGAGTAGTATATTTACGCTTCTGCTGTTGATGCAGTGGTTGGAAGAAGCTGGATCTTCCTGCAGGTCTTGATGCATGAAACAAGCAAACTTAGGTTTCAAGAGCTTTGAGAAGAAGAAATCTGGAGATTCTGGAAATTTCACACAAATTTCTGAAGTACGTAGTCCTAAAGCAATGGTTTCAGTCGCCTTGGAAAAAGCACGGTAAATCCAATCACCAAGAAAATCTTTCCATGTACACACAACAAAGTTCTGAAGTCTTTGAGCAATTCAAATGAGCCTGAGACGTGCAGAAAATCCTTTTTTTCATCTTGCAAACATTCAGTGGTGTAACATTTGCATTAAAAACCACACAACTTGTACTACCTTGTTTATCACATACTACCTTGGGTATCACCACTCCTACACATTCAACTTCTTAGAGAGAATTGCTGCCTCATTTCAGAGGCTGCATCCTCTGAATGATGCAGACTTCAAAGGTGAGTCCTTCAAAGCCCACACAGGCTGAACCGAGCGTTTTGAAATGAGATAATCTAGCTAACAGAGGACGGATTTCATCACCAGGTAACCATAACAGTTGACGTTAATAAGCGCTGATAAAATTTGTAATTACTTTTTTTTCAAAGTGATATTAAAACTTATTTTAAAGGGTCACGAAACACCAAAACACATTTTTTGAGCTGTTGACAGTCGTATATGTGTCCCACACTGCTAAAAACACTATTAGGATACATATATATATTTCACTAAAAAATGAAAATTGGTTGTTTTGCATTATTTTAAGCAAATTCGTTCTTCCGGTTTGAAATGAATTTTTGAAGCTGCGTCATGGCCATGAGATGTTAGCATGTATTCCAGCGTGTAGACTGGATGTCTGTAACAGAGTGTCCAGTATTACGTCTCTGAGTGTGTTGCATTCATTCATGAGTATGGCTTGGTTCAAACCAATCAGCGCGCTCCATTATGTATGCGCTGCAACTTCATTAATATTCATGCTAGCTTTCTTATAGTTCATATGGTCAGCAGTACTCTTTTAGTGTTTAAAGACAGACCTTAGTCAAAATGATTTCTAAGTTACTAAGTTTACAGTACGTTGATATCTCTACAATATTGAAAGATCCGCTGTAAATGCAGCTCTCTGTGTGTAAACCAAGCGGCAACCTCCCTCTCTCCCTCAGGAAGCCAATACGGAAGTAACTAAAACTGCAATTCAGTACAGAAAACAGCAGTTACAGCAGAAAAAAAGGTGTTAACAGCCTGGTACAAAAAAAGATTTTGGTTAATACAGCTAATATTGCCCTTCATGACAACTGTGAGGGGGGTGATCTTTTTTTTATAACTCATCCGTTTCCTTTATATTAAGTTATATTAAGTTTGCATAATTAAGGGAGTGGCCACTTGATTGACAGCTAGGTCTCTTTGATCACCGTCACGTCACCTCAGCTGAATCCTGCAGATTAGCCACTGATCTTTGCATATTTATCGTATTTCTGTGTTATGTGGCTTTACACAGTCAACTGCCTTTTGGACTTGTTTCCTACAATTATCATATGGCATGGCATGCTGTGAAGTTGGCCTCCTTATAGGTTACAGCTGTCCAAAGGCTTTGGCACCAAAACAGGTGATTTTAGGAGCAGATAATGAACCTTATGCAGTCAGTACAGACCTAGGATGGAGCATTGTTGGATGCCCATCTTCACACCCTGAATCACAAAGCTTTCAAGCACAAATCTGTCATCGAGTCAGCACTAAAGAGCTTCCACCAGTGACCCCAGCAGATGTAATTAAAGTATTGGAGTCTGACTTTAAAGATGCTGGCGAAGACAGTAAAACGGTGTCGCAGGATGACATCGTCTTTTTGACTAAACTGCAGCAAGGCATAAGGAAAAACATCCATGGCCATTATGAGATGCCTCTCCCATTCAAAGAAAGACCTCACTTGCCTATCAATAAGCAACTTGCCACCATAAGGATCAATCATCTCAAAAGGAAACTCCTAAGAGATGAAAGGTATAAGGAACATTATGAAAAGTTTATGGAAAAGGTCATTGAGAGAGGTGATGCAGAAGAAGTTCATGATGAAGGAAAGGATGGGGAGAAGTGGTACATCCCTCATCATGGGGTTTATCACTCTAAAAAGCCTGACAAGCTTTGTGTTGTGTTTGAATGCTCCGCTAAGTACCAGGGTACCAGCCTCAATGACCATCTGCTCCAAGGCCCAGATTTAACTAATAATCTGATTGGTATTCTTGTAAGGTTCAGACAACATCCCATTGCCCTGATGTGTGATGTTAAGATGATGTTATATCAATTTCATGTGGACGAAGCAGACCGAAACTACCTCCGCTTTTTATGGTGGAAAAAGAGAGAACTAGGTTCATACCCACAAGAATACCAAATGAAGGTCCATCTTTTCGGTGCAACCTCAGTCCTCCAGGTGGGATGTGCCAACTATGGCCTAAAGCATCTTGCTAAGGAGAATGAACAAACGTATCCTCTTGGCTCAAAATTCATCACAACAGACTTCTATGTTGATGATGGTGTTACCAGTGTAGCCAGCACAGAAGAAGCTATCCAAAAAGCAACAGAAGCCCGACAACTGTGTGCCTTAGGTGGTCTTAGACTGCACAAATTTATCACAAATGATAGAGTTGTCCTGGATAGCATTCCAATTTCTGAACGATCCACTGAAGTTAAGGCCCTTAACCTCAACTTCGAAGATACACCCTTAGAAAAAGCTTTAGGGATCCACTGGCACATTGATTTTGACAAACTCAGATTTTCTGTTGACCTCAAGGACCAGCCGGCAACACGCCGGGGTATACTATCTACAGTCGCATCACAGTATGATCCACTAGGCCTGATTGCTCCTTTCTTGCTCAGAGGAAAATTGGTGCTGCAGGAAATGTGCAGAAATGGAACAGGCTGGTGTGAGCTTCTTCTTCAGGAATTGCAGCCAAGGTGGGAGCATTGGAAAGATGATCTGGCGAACTTAGAGAAGTTTAATATACCTCTCTGCTATGTGCCTGCAAGCTTTGGAAAGGTCATCAAAAGAGAACTTCAACACTTACCTGCAACAGTGGCTATGGCCAATGTTCTTACTTGCCATAGTCTTGCGCCTCTTACACCTAACAACTTGCTTACTATGAAGTCTGTTCCAGCGTTACCACCTCCAGGTAGATTCATTCGAGAAGACATCTATGCAAGGAAAAGATGACATCATGTTAAATATCTTGCAGAGCAGTTTTGAAGTCGCTGGCGAAGGGAGTATATATCCAGTATAGCTACCAGGCAGTGCTGGCACACAGCAAGGAGAAATCTTTAAGTAGGAGATATTGTTATGGAAAAGGCAGATGACTTGCCCAGAAATGAGTGGCGGCTTGCCAGAGTTATGGAGACTACTGCAGATAAAGATGGCCTTGTGAGAAGAGTCAAGATCTGTCTTGGTGACTGGAATCTAGGAAAGGATGGTCGTCGTCTCAGCAAGATGTCTGTTATAGAACGTCCTGTCCAGAAGCTGATCCTGTTGCTAGAGGCTATCTAGCTACCAATAGGAGCAACAAACTGTATCCTTTTTGCATTTTGCTATAGTATATACATGCATTATTAGTTTGAGTTAAAGGTCATTTCTATTTTGAAATCATTTGCAATTTATACTCCTTAAGTCATACAAATCTCCCATGATTTGGTGGGAGTGTAGATGACCTTTAAATTGTTCAATCACGGACACTTCTACCTCTGTCCAGTAGAGGGTGCTGTTGTCTTAAAACAGGCCGTAGTGTGCAAATTGAAGAAGTTATGGGTGAAGTGTTTAGTGCTACAAAAGGAAATGACTCAGGAGTGCTCTAAAAACTATGTTTAGGCTGTCAAAAGGGTTTTTCTGACTTTTAGCTCCTGGCTGATGAAGGGCAAAAGCTCTTACGATGATTTATTTTGAAGATTAAA